ATGGGCATCTGAGATCTTGCAACGGCTTCGCCAGTGCACCAAGGCCCGCGGGCAGTGTTGGAATGATCCAAACCTGCTCAGCTTGAGGTGAGACACTTGAGATTCCAAATCAAGCCATGTCGGTAATTAGGAGCTACTTGTTCCCGAAAATGCCTATCGGTTCAGTCGATGCTGAAAGCAATGAAGTTGCCTCTCAACAATGCTTTTCACTGAATGCCACAGGTAGAGGCGTGGAAGCGGGGAACTTGTGCAACTGCACCAACAATACGCAATGCGCTTGTACAACTGTATCGCACCTCCGTTGGTGGACCCTTGGATGAAGCTTTTCGAAGATCTTGCAGGACTGAAGAGACAGATTGATCCTGGGTCAGGATCTGTATAGGTGAGCCAGCACAAGAAAGAGCCGTGGACAAGGTGTCATACACGGGCTTGGCACTGAAAATGACCCAAATTCCTGAGATATTTGCACGGAAAGCATCACATGAAATCTCAAGTTAGTCCAAAGACCTGCAAAACCACCTGAGTTCCAAATGTGGAACCACAATGAACCACTTAGCACATGACCTCTGAACAGCTCGCGGCGTGGTAAAGGCTGCTTGACATATGCTCCCAACCCTGAAGCATACTCAGCATCAGGACCTGGCAAACAACAGCTCTCAGCATTCAAGGCTGCAGGCAAACAAAATTGCAAAATGCTTTGAGACGTGCTTTCTTTGAATGCGGTCACCAAACCTGCAGCAGCCTTCGGAGCAAATTCTGCTGCAGCCGGTGTAGGGAGGAGCCTGCAAGAAAATACAAAGAAAGCATGTCGAGTGCAATGTCGAGCAACTCGAAGCATGCAAAAAAAAATGCAAAGCATGTGTTTGACAAAAACGGGAGCACAATTACTTTACTTCGAGTGATCCCCACCATGACATTTCATACATGGTGGTAATTACATTCTCTCTGACATTCTATCTGATATTATTTCTGGCATTCTTTCTGGTATTCTATCTGGCAAGTTCTATCTGACATTCTATCTGGCATTGCATTTGGCACTCTATCCGGCATATTCTATTTGACAGTCTATCTGGCATTCTGTCTGGCACTGCATCTGGCTCTCTATCTGACATTCTTATCTAGTGGTTGAGGTCCGGTGGTGCCCACTGCAATCAAGAGTTGGCGAGGAGATGGCGAGGAGGAGGAGGAGGAGAAGGAGGAGAAGAAGAAAGAGGAGAAGGAGGAGGAGAAGGAGACGGAGGAGGAGAGCTCAGATAAAATCTAACAACCCTCACCTGGCAGGTGGGGAATAACCAATGACTATAGTCACTATAGTCTGGACGGGCTGCTCGCAGTTCTCATTGACTCGTCTGCTCATCTCTGAGAGGAAGAGCATTGACACCGGCAGCCTTGGTTGGGTGCAGCGAGAAGTCACACTTGGACGGCCATACTTTGGGGAGGAAGTGTGAGACAAAGTGAAGTGATGCAGCGATACTGATCCCATATTTAATATGTATTACTGTAAAATAGCTGAGGTGAGCTAGGATCAATAGAAAAAACAAGATTGCGAGGCTGTGAGGTCAGGTCACACTGAGATGCAGTTAAACTGGTCCTGATTCTGATGATTATCATGCGTTTATATTGGCACAATAACATGACAAATGACAACACATCGCACAAGTTTCAATCAATTGACATGAGATAATGTATATATTTAGCTATTTGGACTGCCTTTCGACCCATTTGATGGTTTGGGCAATTTCCTGGACTGCTGTTTCAGGTGATCAAGAGAAAAGACCTCTGTTGACACCAGCTTTGATTGGAATCGGAATATGCAACTGATTGCAACCAAACCAACCAATCTCTTCATGTCTCCCACCAAGAAGCGCACCATCAATGATGCAGCACAGAAGTTTCGGAGTAATGGCAAATTGATCCAGCAACAAATGTGTGCATTGTGCGCTCCACTCTGGTGTGAGGAACCTGGGAACGTCATGTGCCAACTGAGACAAAACACTCTGAAACTGCCGCCGGGGGATTGTCTGCAGCCATGCAGCACACCAATTCCACGGGCCTTGTCCTGGAGGCTTTGAAGCTCTGAGGCAGCCAAACGGCTAGAGATGCTCATCAACATTGGTCTCCAGCTCCTTGCTTTGACTCAGCTTTCCCAATCCAACCGGAAGAACAAATGCTGGCAAGCTACAGCTTGTATCTCAACGGGTCGACTCCAAAATGAAGAACCTTTGCAAAATGAAAGCATTGAACAGCCTCTGAATGATACCACAGTGCACACCATGGCTATGCGTTTTGAAAATCATATATATATATTGATCTCCTCAAATCCCCTCACCCAGCCAGCAAACCAATCAACATCCCTGAATCTTTGTATTTCCTTCAATATGTGTCTCCTCTTTGCTTCAAGCATGTGAATAAATCCTAGTACATCGTAGTAGATAGTACTATAGCGACTATAGTACTATCCTGAAAGAAGTTGCGAGTCATTTCGGGTCCTGCCAGGGCGCATCCCCAGCACAAAGCCTTTGAGGATGTCCCTTGCCAGGCTGCTGCTCATTGACAAAGGTGTGACCCGTAGAGGAGCGATCCAAAATCGAAATCTCCAAGGGAAGCACTTCTGACAATGAACCTGGCTACAGAGTCCAACCCTCGAAAATATCTCGTGATTATGGAAGAAACATGGAAGAAACCATGCCGTAGAAGGTGGTTTGTGTCATTTGATCCGATGTGTGTTCACCCAGGAAGGAACCCCAAAGGTGGCACCTGCTGCAGGTTTTACCACAATTTCAGCATGAACTCGAGAGACAGACCTTAGAACTGGCGATGAACACGTGCTTTTGAACACGTGCAGGTTGGCAGGTTGAAAACAAAACTAGTTGGCAAAAGAGCGACCAGACCAAATGCATCCGAAAACGAGATGCATGAGATGGGCACTAATAAAAATTTCAAGGTGCTGATGTGTAGATCGTATCTGTGCCGTTTGAGCGCGGCCCACTTGAGAGGTGCCAGGTAGTAACTGCAAAGAGACCGTGGGTGTAGTGGTTCTTGGGCCTTAGTGAACTGTGTATTGCAGTGTGTCACGTCAAAATGTCTCCAAGAAACTATGCATACACTTTGGGCGCATCCCAAGAAACAATACAGCTGTAACAACCGTTCTCAAAAACAGTGATGACCTTTACCGACTGTTCCTGGTAGTCTGGTAGTTGGCTACACTGTGAGCACACAACGGAAGTGGGAAACCTACTGTTCATGTCGTGGAATCTGAGTCGCTCCAAAAATAGAACCGCACTTTGGTCAGCATGTTCTAAACGGAGCTTCACATGTTCAGTCCAACTGATGGAGAGTTCATCAGCTCCCTTTTTGGAAATGCGTTCCCTGGGGTTACGCCGTCTAAGTGACAAAGTCCAATTCTGAGATCAAACATTTTGCGGTGCGGGCGGCCTTGCACCTCAAGCACCCAACCCATGGCGTTCCGAAAGCAGATCTGCTACCTCAGCTGATCATTGGGCACCCTACCAAGCCCATCCGTACCCTGCCAATGCTGTGGCACGGCACAACATAACTCCAGCTCCAGGCCCAAGCTTTTCAAACATATATTAGCCAAGGTTCCGATGATGAAAAATTGCCAAAAGGAATTCCATGGAGTGCTTTGCTCTTGTCACGCATCAAAAGAATGTGGGCATTGAATTGCAAACACTCCAAAGTAAATAGAAAACTAACATTAATTAAATAACTAAGACTATAATGAACATTATATAATGAACTATAACTAAACTGAACCAACGTTGATGACTGCTTCTTCTAAGACATGTTGGGGCCCCAATAACGATTGGAATTACACTTTTGTGTGGAATTGTGTGGAATTTATGCTATTGGAAGTAGGCTATGCCGAGATCACCCTCAATTCAGGGCTGATTGGATAGGAGCAAGGTGGGCCGTGACAAAAAGTGTGTCATTGTAGCACCTTGTCAGCTGCAATACTTTGAGTAGGTTCAAGGATTACAGTAAATGCATGCTGAAATGCACCATGCCAGCAGCTAAATGGCAGAGGTCGTTGCCTTCAATACTTGATATACCTGGTTCACATGGATGTGTGGAATGTCATCAGCAGTAGCTACTGAATGCTGCATTCTGTTTAATGAGCTTGCCTCCAAATCTGGCAGCAAGCGCCTTCATCAGGCAAATGGTGTGAATACCAAACAATGACACGCCATCATGAAACAGCGCGCACGTATTCCAAAAAAACACTAGAGTTGGAGGGGGCAGAAGTTGGCAAGCTGACTTGTATCAGGTCAATCTCCAAACAAACCCTACCGAGCCTGTAGGTCTGCAAAAGCTTCAGCTCATAGCGTTCCAGCGTCAGCACTGACCTCGCTGAAACATATCCCATCGAACGTATGGGCCTATTCACCCAATCGTTGCTCGTCACTATTGCAGCTTGCAGCTTGCATATTCTTGGATTGCTGAAGAAAATGCAAAAAGTAAACATATTCACCGGAAAGGGCTTCACTCATAGGCTCCTAATTGATATATATATATATATATAAATTGTATATGCAAAACCCGGATATCATTATCATTCTGAAATTGAAGGTTCTACAGTGTTCCCGCCATCCGATCTTGGTGGTGGGAGACATCGGATCCGGGTCCCCGGCTTCGAGCGAGCTTGAGCCTTCTCTTGTTCAGTGGGCTCGCGGATGCGATAGCCTCAATTCACGAGGCGTCCCTGATCCAGTTCCAAAAGAGCTATCCAAACCTAATCGAGCTGTTCACTCAGCATACTGTATCAGCACTCCACCCGGCCTTCTTAGCTACATTGTTTTGTCCGAAAGCACCCCTTGTCTGAACAATTGCAGGGGAAGGTTGGAGGTAAGCCGTCCAACCAAGTGAATTCATCTGCTGGAAATCCACTTCTGGGCTTTGTCTGGCTGGTGCTTAAAGCACCTCCCTCACATGCTGAAGATTCTGCACCACTGAAGATTTCAGGATCCCACCTTCAAGATCCTTCATGCCTCTCTGGACAGCTGGAATGGCTCTGGAACCGTAACTCCCTTCACTCCCTGTGCAGAAATCGTTTCGGGTCGGAAAACCCTCTGCTCTCGTTCTTGCTGCTCTTGCTGTTTCTTCAGCGCCAGGTTCTTGAGCTCAAAGAAACGATCGAGGCCGCTCACTGCCACGGGCTTCTGAATGTCCTGGGTCCAGGGCCACACCACAACCGATGCTGAATGACCGTGGAAACCGACAGTCGATCTGAACCGAAATGTAAGGCTGTCAAAAAAAGGTGGGTGCTACAATGATCTACAATGCACAGTTCAATTGTTTTGAGGCAACTCCAGTGACTTGACTGTCCTGAAAGCCTTCTGTCACGGAAGGGGTAAATGTACAATCGGCATTTCGTTCTTCTTCGAGCTCACGGCGCCTCTCTAACAAATACTCAGCCTTCTTCTCCTGCTCCTGGCGGATGCTTTCCATGAGATCTGGCCTTGCATAACGAGACTTCACATGTGCAAAACGCCTGGAGCTCCGACGATCCAGCTGTGGGCGGAAGCTTGAGTCGTCCGAGTGGCCGGAGTCGTGGCGGCTCTTGGAGAGTGCAGAGCGGTACAAACGTTCATGTGGTGATGCCGCCACACCGTCCTCCAGTCGTGATGCTGCCAGTGCCTGAGAAACTGGGTTGATCTCTGGCTTGAAGGTGTAGTCTTTGTGATGCAGCTGTTCTAGCTCTTGTCGAGTTTGCTCCCTCCTCTCAGCATCTCGAACTGCTAGGCGATGTATTCGCTCTTCAGGAGTCTCACCCAGCAACTCTACATTGTTGCAAACAAGTTGACGGCTTGTTTCGGTGATTCTGGGCTGAAAGGAGCACTCAGTTTCCAAATGCTGAGCACGAACGTCCATTCGCTTCTGCTTCGCTAGCTCGAAGGTTTGCTGTCGAGTCAGGAAGTCTTGCTGCGGACCTTGGAAGTAGACTGACGCTTTGCAAATTTGCTTTGAAGTGTCATCCACACTTGGAAAGGAGCGGAGCTCTTCAGCATGAACATCTTGGAGTGCGGCCAGCCTTTGTTCCTTCTCTTTGGCCTCCGCATAGAGTCGTTCTTCCACAGGGCCAAGCTGTCTTAAACACTCCACTTGCCCGTGGGAGGCACTTTTGTACAACATATCGCCTTGTTGAACGGTGGTTCAGCTCACATCAACAGTACTATATAATTAGCGGTCTAAAGTTAGGGTGTGTTCATTCCGGGTAAAGGCTGCCCCCAAAAATGGAAAACCAAGAAGTGAGAAACAAGTACAACATATTCCAAACCATCACCTCCATCACCTTCATCACCCAGTCACGTTTTCTTTGCACCAGCCGCTCGCTGCGGCATGAGATCCGAGGCTGAAAGAAGTGCTCAGAACGCTTCTCCTCAGCCAAATGGGCAGAGCGAGCGCGTTCTTCTCGCTGCTTGCTCAAAGTATCCAATCGCAGATGTAGCGGTGCACGTTGACCAACACTACCTGTTGACTTTCGGTTGATCTTTGGCTGAAATGTGCAGGAACACAAGGCATCAGCTTCCATGATCTCTTTGGCCTTGTTCCGCAGATTTGCCCTCCTGTCTGCCTCATGGTACAAACGCTCCGGCAAAGCTTCCGCGAGGCAACCACGAGAGCGCCTTGCGTAGAATTCTGACCGGCTGTTGATCGATGGTTGGAAGGTGCATTCTTCGAGTTCTTCTATGTCCTTTTCTTGCTTTGCCTGCATTTGCTTCTCTCTGGAGGCTTGATGTTGCAGCTGCCACTTCTGCAACCTGTGATCAAACCTCTCTGATGAGCTCCGCCGCCTGGGTGCTGGGCTCTTCGATTGACTGGCCTTGGTTGGCTTTCTTTTCTTTTGACCTACCCTGCCTGGAGGTTGAGAACATGCTTTGGGCTTCGTCTCTCGGGGGACTTGCATCTCCGCCTCAGGAAAGGGTTGTATCGCTCTTGGCGCAGCCTGTTCTGGCTGCGAACTGAGCTGGTCATGCTGCTCTGCTTTTTCAGCAGCCCTCAACCGTGCTAGAACCGAGGTCAAAAAACCATCATCTTGAGGCTCGACATGTTCAATCTGCTCTGTTACACACACCGGAGTCCGGTCAATTTCAGGCCGACCAAGCCGACTACACCTCTCTGGGCTGGGCCGAACTGGCTCCTCTGAGGCATTCGCAAATAGCTTTTGCTGCAAACGATGGCGACGCTCTTCCAAGAGCTGTTGGACCAAAAGGTCTCTGCGTGACGCGGCGGACGCCCCAACTTTGGTTTCAGTCATCGCTACATCGAGGGCCTTAAAAAAGGTCTGCAGCTCGAGGTTTTTGCCTCACCCACTGCCCCTTGGAGCCAAAAGTGGGCGGCACCATCATCGGAATGCAAGGACCCAAACTGCAAACGTCGTGCCAGCTCCCAGTTGCACAAAAGAACTACAGTATACTACAGTACATAAGACTGACAAACATACCAATTGCGCCTGGGACCAAGTCTTTGAAAACGGCCACGGCTGAAAGAATGGCCATGCACTTGGTCTCCTGGTCTGCGACACCTTGCGTCTAGGTCTTGGGTGGCACTGATGGAGCCTGATGAATTCAGCTAGAACTGTACAAAATTACAAAATATATTGTGGTTGATCTAAAACCCTTCTTACGGAAACACAATTCTTTCAAAATGAAAGAACATTACTTTCACAAATTTCGTGTGTTTAACTTCCGTTGGGGTAGAAGCCTAGAAGTCTTCTTGGTTTGGCTCTTTCCACATTACACAGTATACCTATCTTTGACAGACCAAGATCTGTTGCAACAAAAACTCGACTCTACTTTTGTGAACTCTAAACAACTTTCGCGAACAACATAAGAGGCTCTCAATGCACCTAGGCCTTTTGTCGACCTTTCAATCAACTACCACTACCATAATGCAATATCATATGATATAGTTATAACTAATGTATAATATAGTATAATGCACATATATAATATATATCTGTTGAACAAGCACGGAGTCACAATTTGCTTGGCCATGCACGGTGCAAGTGAAAGAAAATGTCAAAGAGGTCGAGTTCCTGCAATTGCGCGATGCTTCTCTTGTCAAACAAAACCAAGCTCAATAGTCAATGTATTCTTGGACGATGAAATCGTTCATTCATGAGATGCTGCCGATGGTCTACATTCTATGCGTTGTTCTTGGCCTTGTCAGGCTCAGCAGCGATGCGCTCGGCAGCAGTTGCCAGCCTAACGCAACGCAACACGTGATGTCCCAATGATGTCCCAGCAATCAACAAGTGACAAAAAGCTATCACAAATTGATTGCACCGTATGTAGAATATATATTATATATATTACTGTAATAAAAAAATACGTCTCTCTCTCTACTACATATATATATATATACATGCACATTTGCTAACATCCTATTCAAAACATTCCAAGTTGTCAAAGCATGTTTAAAGTACTGTAGTACTTTATATCATTGTTTTTGATTGCTTGTGCCCAACCGAAACAGGCCCTCATGAAAAGGTCCCGGTCTTGACACCTTGTCTCAAGTGCAAGTAGTGTTGAGGCCCCATATTGAATTTACCATGCTCAGGAAAACAAATTCAGAATGCACCAAAACACATTCCAGCAATACCATGCAAAGGGAAGCTGAGAATTCAATTGACTAGCTTGGGCCCATGCAAGCGCTTGTCACCAGCACCTGGTATGCCATCGTTCGGCAAAAATCTATGGCTCAGGCTTCTAGCTTCCTTCAAGAATCCTGAGCCCTTCTGTGTCCAAGCCTAGTAGCACCCTCTCCCTTGGATTCTGGGCGAGAGTGTGGCACCTCCACGTCGCATCTTGTCGATGAGCTCCGTGGCAGCCTTTCATGATCGGCAGCTGACTCCCACTGCAGCCAAACATGAATCGCGTCCGGCATGGCCTTTGATAGCTCCCCTTCTTTGGCTTTGGCCTTGCAAGCCAGCCGGCCAACAAGTACAACCAAAGTATAGAAGCTGTCTGTCATTCCCTGATGACAGATTCTAGGTAGCTTCTACCTTCGCCACATTGCAGCATCGCTTCCAAAATGGTGCTCCCGCCTTGCCCTTCACGGCTGCGACCGCCTCGTCGAACGCCTTCTTGGTCTCTTCTGCAGCTTTGTTGGCCTCGCGGGCCTAGCGCAAGGGGTGCTGCAGGACGCTTCAAACTTGTAGGCAAGGCATGGTTCAAAAGCCCACGCAAAGGTGACACCGCAATGGGTAACGTAATTATATATGAATAATATATATATATATAACATATACCGACTCTTTTTGTGTATGTCATGTCCGAGGCTAACATCTGTGTTGCAACTACTCGCTCCCTACGGGCATGGTCCCCGACATAGGGCCCGTACCCAAACCCAATTCACGAAAAATTACGTAAGTCAACTGTCGCGGATACCTCATGAAACAAGCACTATCTTCATCCACTGGCCTTCTGAGCTTGCAGCTTCTCCATGCGTTTGGTTTTCTTCCTGCACTTGAGGGCATCGAAGAGACTGCTTCAACAATCTCCATATCATTGAAGAAAGGGGACATGCTCCTTCCCACGGGCTTTTCCTCATCTGGTGCTGTCTTATCAGCCTGCTACTGTGCTTGCTGTAGGTTGGCGCTCTCTGTCCACTCCCAAAGCTTGCGCGGCCTTCTTTGGACCAGCAGCGCCTGTTCACTCCCAAACTCACGGACTCGGACTACAACAGTCGGTGGAGTAGTAACAAGAAGCTAGTAGGAACAAGTGCATCGCTACTAGTAACAAGTGCCTTACTAGTAGTAACAAGAAGCTAGTAGTAACAAGTGCATTGCTACTAGCACAACGACACTGCCCGACTACCAGGCCATTAGCTTCAAGCTTGGGAAGTTGAGTCTGCTTTCCTCAGCGGCCACAGGTTTGGCAGGACGGAAACGCATGTGTGGCCAGTGTTTTGGTTCGGGTCACCAATCTTCGATATGAAAATATATGATAATGAATACAGTAAACACATGCCCCATGATGAGTGAATCCCCGTTCTTGGCGACTTGTTTGAGAAAATAGCCAGGCTCCGACAGGCACAATTTTCATACACATGCCGCATGCCTCACAAAACCTTTAACAGTTCTCTCTGTGTGAATCCTTGGTTCCATCGGGGCTTGTATTGCAAGTCATGACCACTTTTGTCACGAGGTAGTCCCAACACGTTGACCTCAGGCGTTGCTCGGGATGGTTGAGTCCCCAGGCGTTGCTCGTCTATCCAATTGGCCTTTCGAGGCCGCTCCTCTGCGGAGAGCTCCACCTCTCGAAGTGTGCCAGTCGTTCGCGAGACTTGGTACGATAGGTGCAACCGCCTACAATTTTAGTATATATCAATACATGCTTTTTGTATGCATATGCATACACTAATTGTATATATCATATATACATAAATAAATATGTATATTATATAAGAATATACAGAGGATGTCTGCGTGTCTATTCAATTCTTTGTTCATCAATTGTTGGAATCAACATACAATTTGAAGCAACAAGCCATCCAATCGGCTTCTGCCTCTTTTCCCCGCTTTCTCTTTTTGGACCTCAGGCAATACATGTTTGATCCTTTTGCACGTGACAAGCTTGTTCTTAGGCTAATCGCGAAAGCAACGAGGGTCTGCCTAGATGGGTGAGCTTCCAAAAGGCGCTCCTTTTTGGCCGTCTCAGAAGGGATCCTCACCAATCAAAGGCAAGGCATTCTTCGCTGCAGTTCTCACACCTTGGCACCAATCACCCCAGGTCCTACCGAGCAGGAGCACCCCGACCACTCTTGTCCTCTTGAAAGTGCCAAGGTCCTACAGAGTCCTTTACTGACATGCATGTATATAGAGGTCACTCCTCAAATCAATTCAAATCACAAGTGCTTCCAAAGAGCTGATGTCAGAGTCCTTCTTGGCCAAAGCCCTTAAAGCGCTTGCAACCTCCTGGACTTCCTTTTTGTTGCCGGCCCTCAAATGCAGCACACTTGCACACGTTCATTTACTCGAACAACTAGTGACTGCGCAATCATCCTGATTCAAAACCTTCGCAGCAGAAATTACAGGAGCAAAGCATGCTACTGGAATACAGCACACGAAAACCGAATAGACATAGATAAATCATGATATTAAAACATGATAAAGCTAAGCAAACTCGAGCAGCACAACCGATCCACCCGAGCCTTGGCACCAGTCTCGTTATGACACGAGAAGCGATGATGCGCACTCCAGCATCCGAATGAAACAAGCATGGGAAAACCTCCCAAAGTGGGACGACAATGTCACATCAAAGCACTCGACTTTGCGTCCTTGCGGGTCCTTGCATCTCTGATTTTTCAGCAACATCCCTCGGTTCTCACCTGTATTCATATTATAAGTTCCATCTGCACAAGCTCCATCGCCTTCTCCTTCAAGGCCAAGAGCTCCGGCGCGCCAAGCACTCCACCCCCGCCTGACGAGCATCAAATGGTGACGACTGGGGTGACGAGCATAAAGGACTTGGCCTGGCAAATCAACGAGGACTTGCAAGGCGGTGCCGCGAACCTGACAGAAACTGGAGAATACGCAGCTACTGAAGCGGATGAAGAAGTACACCACCCTATTTGCGCCACAAAGAGCCAAGAAAACCGTGTAATGGTAGCGATCAACGTTCTCCTGGCACTTTTCGACAGTACCTGACCTCGTCCCCAGGTGCCCCTAGCTGGTGTAGCTCTGAGCTCCGATGCTGCTCCATAAACCCTCACAGCACCTTTTTATTTGAAAAACATTGAAAAACATGAAACACCGCAAATGTGTTGTAATAGCCTGATCCTTCATCGTTTCCGATTCCGACGCGCCGATCCACTGCGGAATGCCACGCACAAGCGTCCTTATACACATGATATGTCATGGGCTTGTCTCACCTCTGGGCGCTAGGTGAATCTACATGATTCCTCTGGGCGTTCCACCTGAAGGCTGAAGCCCCGCTCCGAATAGCTTGTAACTTGCGGACAAACAACCTAACGTAACATCACATGCCATCATGGCCCAATGGCAATCAAACTTCAAGTGATGGCCCATTTTGCAAGTGAAGAAGAAACAAGAATCTGGACATTGACCTATTGGACCTATTCTCCAATCCTATCCTTCCAGTTGCGATGGCCCATCTTTCTCAGTTACCGATCGGAAACGACACAATTTAACGGATCCTTTCGCTCGCTGATGCAGTCAATTTGACCCAAGTCTTGTGCGCACCGCTGATGCGTTGTCACGCAAGCATGGTGCCAAGGCTTGTGCAGCTTGTA